ATCACTTTTGAAATTTTAGAGTATTTAAAAAAATTATAACTTGTTCACTATTTAACTGATTTACACCAAATTTTGTTTTGTAAAAAAAATTTCTCAATAAGGTCTTTCTTTCAATCAACTCTCACCTTATGGACACAAAAAAAAACAGATACCTCAATATTGCAGACAGTAAAATACTGAATCCCTGGCGAAAAATACGTAGAAATGACAGAAAGTACCTCCCGCGCGTTAGTATGGACTCTCACTACTTCGGACACTAAATTACAGTCCCGAGGATGTCTATAATAGTGAGAGTTATTTCACCATTATCTAATTAGGGGATTTTGCCCAGTCCCTACTCAGTTTGAAACCTGGCAATAAACACAAGATATCAATTTTTTTTACTAGATGACCAAGATGCAGCTGATTTATAAAAAAAAAATAGTTGTACAGTAAAAAGCCCAGCAGAAGATGGCTTTAGAAATGCAAAAAAAAAGGCAAAGCAGGACAATAAGCACCTTGTAGTCGCAGGCTGTGTTCCTAAAAAAAAGCCTCGACATGACTCCATCCAAGGTGTTAGTGTTGTTGGGGTAAGAGAATTTTACAGGCATTCTGATATAGTGCGTCAAAAAAATGAAAATTATGCGGCATTTTAACATCAAATTATGCGGCACAAATGTTCAATTATGCGACAAAAATTCCCGATTAAAAAAAAAATTGCGCAATATTGCAAAATTTTTTCTCATGTTTATTTTAATTTTAAAAAAAATAAAAACATTTCATTTACGATTCTATGGCTTTTAGTGTTTATCTAATTTAAAACAACAGACTAATGACTTTTTATTGCTTCAAGTTTCGGTCCCTAGGGATCAAAAAAATGCAACATGAAAAAAAAAGTCGCTGCAATTTTTTTGACCTGGACACGGAAAAAAAGCACGTTTTAGTATAAGAGCAATTTACACACTTTCATGTCAATATTATAAAAAAACAAAATGTTCTCTTATCACATACTCGAATAGCGGCGTCGAATAATAAGAAAAAAAGATCGCAGATTTGATTCTCGACTTGAGCAGCTTCTGGACACATCGCATAAAAAAACTATATCAGAATGCCTGATTTTATAATAACTGACTTCTTTGCCCTTCTAAAAAAATTATCAGATATTTATTTCCTTTTAAAATTAGTACTAAACTTGTAACTGGGACTTTTAAAAAAAGTGGGCAAAGCATTCTGGTAGTCATAGCATATGACGCCATTGTATGAATCACTGTCTAAAGTATTCTTCCTTCATTAATGAATATACAGCAATATGCAGAAATTTTGACCCTTTTGACTCACATTCCAAGTTTTATAAAATATATAAGAAAAAAAAAGATATCATCCCCAATATTTTTTTCAAATAGTACTAGTGCTAGACAACTAAAAAAAAATATTGACCATGTTACTGTATTCCATAATTTCTGATATATTTTAAATAAAAAAATGGAATATGAGTCAAAATGATCATAATTTCTGCATGTTGCTGTAAATGAAAAAAATCTTGAAATTGATTGCATAATTGATTGTAGGTCCAGCAAATTGACAGAAAAAAAAAGGTGGTAGAAGAAACATTGAAAGGTATTATGGGATATCTGTATGCAGAAAAAAAAAAGACAGGGTGCAGAGGGAGCCACACTTTTTCCTCAAGTCCTCCAATAAAAAAATATGTATTCCTTAATT